GGTTTTAGTTTTTGCTTTGTTGTTGTTAAACTTCCTGTGTTCTGTTTTGTTTATCTTGTCAGCTGCTTTTTTACGTTGTGATAAATGCAGGATAATAGCACTTTTAAGTCGAGCATGAGTCCTATTAATTTTGTTTCCTGGAACTGTAGAGGCCTTGGTAAGGCACTTAAAAGAGCGAAGGTGTTTTCACATCTAAAATCACTTTCATTGTCTTTCTGCAGGAGACTCATATTCATCCAACTGAGCAGCGACGGTTGAGATCTTCTTGGGTGTCTCAGGTTTACCAGGCTAAATTCTCTTCCAAGGCTAGAGGGGTTGCAATCCTTATCTGCTAGTCTATTCCATTTATTTTTAACTCCATGTCTGCAGATCCGGGGGGGAGATATGTGCTTGTCACTGGCGAAATTAATTCCATCCCTGTTGCCCTTTTGAATATTTATGCCCCAAATTGTGACTGCCCCGACTTTTTCTGCAAGATATTTGACATTATTGCACAATCTAATAATAAGGACATGATTATAGGAGGTGACTTCAACTGTTATCTCGATCCAGTGTTGGATAGGTCCTCCAATAAGGTTGCTTCTTCTTTGAAATCAGTGTCTGTTATAAATAATCTCATTAAGTCACTAAGCTTAGTGGATATCTGGAGGCTTCAGCATCCTTCCGATCGCAAATCATCATTTTTTTTCCCCCTCCCATGGTAGTTTTACCAGAATCGACCACTTCTTAATTGATTCTAAATTAATTTCATGTACAGTCAGTTCACTCTATCACGGGATCTTAATTTCAGATCACGCCCCTCTCTTACTTCAGATCCACTTTAATCTTCATGCTCCATCGTTTAACTGGAAATTTATCCCCCCCATCAATTCTGATCAAGCATTTAAGGACTTCATTTCAGCTAAAATCTCAGATTTCCTTCTTTTTAATGACAAAGGTGATGTGTTTGATTCAGTTTTGTGGGAGTCATTTAAGGTGGTTCTGAGGGGCAACATTATTTCTTATCAGTCTTCGGTCAAAAGGGCCAGATCACAGCGTTTTGCAGATATTCAGGCTGAATTGGCTGTTTTGGAGGACAGGTACCAGAACTCAAATGATGAAAATATACTTAATGCCATTCTGAAGATAAAATCTGAATATAACCACATGCTTGGGGAACAAGTGGGTAATTGCATTCGCAAACTTAAACAAAAGCATTTTGAACTGGCAGACAAGCCTGATAGATTGCTTTCTAGACAAATAAAAGGCACACTGGCAGATAGAGCTATTCATAAAGTTACTTCTCCTTCTGGCCAACTGTTAACTGATCCTAAACTCATTAATGATGCCTTTTTCAATTATTACAGTGATTTATACACCTCCAAGAGTAGTGCTACCAGCACGGATATTAAAGTCTTTCTAAACAATTTAAATGTACCTGTCCTGGATGAATCCGCCAGGGCACACCTGGACTCTAGTTTTACTATTGAAGAAATTAAATCCGCGATACACTCTTTATCTCCTGGTAAGGCTTGTGGTCCGGATGGGTTTGGAATAGATTTCTATAAATGTTATTTGGATCTGGTTGCCCCTCTTCTTCTGCGTATGGTGAACTCTTCTGTGGTGGAGGGAGTGTTTCCCCAGAGTTTGTATGATGCTCATATCTGTCTTCTCCTGAAGAAGGGCAGGGATTGCTCTAATGTTGCCTCATACCGTCCTTTAAGCTTACTAAATGGTGACCAAAAAATAGTAGCCAAAGTACTAGCTACTCGTTTAAATAAACACATAGCTCATCTGATCCATCCCAACCAGACTGGCTTTATCCCCAACAGGTATTCCTTTTCAAACACTCGTCGACTCTTAAGTGTTATGTACCAGACCAACCTTCCTGCCTCCGCAGTTATTTCATTAGATGCTCAACAGGCATTCGACCAAATTGAATGGGACTATTTGTTTTTGGTTCTCCAAAAATTTGGCTTTGGCGATAAATTTATGACTTTACTAAAAATGCTTTACGCTCAGCCAAGATCCTCAGTTCTGACTAATCACGACAGGTCTGCTTCTTTTTTATTGCATCGCGGAACCAGACAGGGGTGTTGTCTTTCTCCGTTGCTATTTGCACTGGCCATTGAACCCCTTGCTATTTCCATCAGGAACCATCCATCGATCACTGGCATTTCAGACTATGCTACAGATAGTCCCATTGGCCTGTATGCAGACGATGTTATCCTGACCCTTTCAGACGTTACAGTCTCTCTTTCTCCACTTCTTACACTTATAAATAAATTTGGCAAGCTTTCCGGTTTTACTATTAATTGGGATAAAAGTCTTTTTATGCCTCTTTCAGATGGTCTGAACGCTGCTTTTCTTAGCAATCTGCCATTCAAAGTTTCCACTAGTCATTTCGAGTATCTGGGGATAAATATCACAAGAGACCCTAAACTCCTTTTTAAATATAATTTTTTGGATTTAATCAACAAAATTAAATCCATGGCTGACATGTGGAGGCACCTTCCTCTTTCATTGATTGGTCGCATCAATGTTGTCAAGATGGTGCTCCTTCCGAAATTTACCTATCTTTTTCAAAATATACCCATTTATCTCACTGCTTCCTTTTTTAAGATGATAGACTCTATTATAATCCCTTTTGTCTGGGCTGGTAAGCACCCTCGAATATCAAAGTCTCACCTACAGAAACCTACTGCGGAGGGGGGCCTAGGCCTTCCTGTTTTTCGATACTATTACTGGGCGTGTAATGCCAGATCCTGGGTTTTCTGGACTCAGTTCTGTTCGAGGGGTGAGGTGGTTGACTCGCTACTACCCAAATGGCCATTGAACGAAAACCTTGCGTTATTAGAGCTTACTTCTTCTTCCTCAGCTGCAGTATTGTTTTCCAATCCTTCTTTGTCCTTTCAGTTGCTGAAGGATAATTTTATATTAAGAAATTCACTCAGGATTCTGAAGCAGTTAAAGAATATATTGAATCTCCCTGGCTTGTCCATCTATGCCCCGATTTGTCAGAATTCAGCATTTAAGCCAGGTAATATGGATGTAGTTTTTAAGCACTGGTTAAATAAGGGGATAGTTGCTGTTAAGGATTTATACATTAATAATCACTTTGCTTCCTTCACGCAACTACAATCAAAATTTGGTCTTCCTTCTAGCCATTTTTTCAGATACTTGCAAGCTCGGAACTTTGTAAAACAGCACCTCCCCCACTATGAAACTTTACCGGCACAGCATAGTTTCTACGAGCTTATAAGAAAGCCCTCTACCTCTAAAAATCTAATTTCTCAGTTTGTTAATCTTTTCAGTTCATCCCCATCTACTAGGCATATAAAAGAGGCCTGGGCTTCTGATCTACTTGGTGAGATTTCGGATGAGCAATGGGATTTGTCTCTTTCAAGAATCAAGACCTGCTCCATTAACTCTAGACTGCAACTTATTCAATTCAAAGTTATCCATCGGCTGCACTTTTCTAAAACTAAACTCAATAGGCTATTCCCCTGCGTCTCACCAAAATGCGACAAATGTAAATTAGATGATGGGACCCTGGGTCACATGTTTTGCTCTTGTCCTAAACTAATGGACTTCTGGTGCAGGATTTTTGAATTTTATAGCAACGCTTATGGCAAGCCTCTATGTCCGGATAGGCATTTGATCATTTTGGGTTGCTCTAAATCCTGTCTTGCTCTTCCCATGTCCCTACAACAGTCTCTAATGTTTGGTTTAGTGGTAGCAAAGCAGGTTATTCTACGGGAATGGAAATCCTCTACCCCGCCTTGTTTTAAGAAATGGCTTAATGATATGGTGTCCTGTATCTATCTTGAGGAAATTCGATACTCTTTGTCTGACAATCATCAGAAGTTCCTGGATGTGTGGGGTCCTTTCAATAGATACATACAAAATAATAGGCAAAAATAATCGTCGTTTACATCTGGACCTGTATCTTCTAATAATTTATTTTACTCTTTTACCGTTTCGTCATTTTTATTGTGATTATAACTTGTTTTCATCTTTTCTTGTTATTCTATGGTGAGGTGTTTGATTCAATGCCTTCAGAAATGTCTGTTACTCGCTTGGACTCTGCCTCATGCTTGATAACGCTCTACAATCTGATGTGCACTTATTTTATCCTCTTATGAGACCCTTTGTTAGCTGACAGTGTTTTGATTGTTCTGTCTTGTGGATTTTTGTTTTGATGAATTTGGTTAGTTTTTTTTTTATCCTTGATGTTTCGTCTTCTAATTTGTCTGTTTATTCTTGAAAATCATAATATTAAAAAAAACATGCATGAAAGAATCAAAGCAACACTCTATATGTACGTTTGATGAGGAAATAAAAGTATGATATGATGTAAAGTTCAAAAGAGTCGATTGTACACAGTACTGCACTCTTAAAGTGGTTGGGGACCAAAATTGCAACAATTGTTACATTTTCAGATGCTGTGCTCTGCTTTCACACTGCACTATGTCAAATGAACCAATAGCTTTTCTTCGCCTGTGAGGGCGCTGCGTCAAGTACTGCGGGAAACAACATGAAAATCTCTAGAGAAGACACTGCACACAATTTCCTTTATCTCTAAGTGTAAAAAAAAAAACGGAGTAGTTTCCGATTTTAGCAGGCGTAGGATTTCTCTAGTCATTGGTAAAAGCCATTTGTCCCACTAGCTCTAGACTCGCACATTTGCTTTGGTTCTATTTACCCAGAATGCCCTGCAATTTAGTTCGCTTCCTGCTTTTGTAGCGGTCTCCGTTTTGGTTGCCATTCACATATGCATTCAAACTTGTCGAGAGTTCACTTCCACCAAACCAAGACCCGAGCTTTTTGGCGGACCAGAGTTCACTTTTTTGGCATTTACACCTCCTCAAACAAACCAGACTTTCCAGACAAATGAGCTAGAGTTCAAGTAATGTGGACTAAACATGTTGTGAATCTAGCCTAAGACTGTGCTGAAACAAATTTCTGGACATAAAACATTGCTTTTAAGTTCTCACTCATGTCACTCCTTGAAACATTACCTGGCATGCTGACCCAGTTGGCTTGTGGCATCGGATGAGGAACCAGCAGAGCGACGGGTGCCGCCAGCGTCTGGGGAGGGCTGATCTGCAGTGGCGGCTCCCTCCGCACCTGTGGAGGCTGCGGCGGTGGCGGCACCGATGGGTATCGATGAGCAGAAAGCGGCTCCATCTCCACAGCCCGCAAACATTGTTCTCTGAGTCTGTCCTCTCTGTGCCGCTTCAGCCGGCGCTGTAAAAAGCTGCAGAAGCAGCACAGCATGACGATGAGGGCCCAGACCAACCAGAAGCCAGTGAAACAGGCCAGGAAGGTGTAGGTGCCCTGGGACATCACCATGGCGGTGACAAGAAGAGTAGTGACTTCTCCGCCCAAGGAGATAAAAAATGTTTTTAGGAGATAAAAAATGTTCTTCAAAACTTTTCTTCACAACAATAAAAAGGAGAACAGACCATCCAAGTTCATAAAGCTTGGGACAGATTGAAAAATACACCAAACGTCACATGTTTGAAGACTGATATAAGTCAAAGTATCAAATTAGAAATAAGGATGAATGTCTGTGATGAACATTAATATAACAGCTAAAAACAATCTATGTTTTACTTTTAAATGTGTTAACAGCTGATCAAATTCTTAAAAGCAGTAGAGGTTTATGTTGCTCTCCTCAACATTCTGCTCTTTTATAGGGTTACAACTAATGATTATGTTAGTCATTGATTATTCAGACGATTAATCGGATAAAAAATTGGCATATTTTTAAGATCTTTAAGGATGTTTAAGCCTTTTTTGTGCAATACTAGAAATGCATTAAAAGATGCAAATCAACAAATTCACTTCCTTTTTAAATAAGAAAATAAATATTTTATTGCCTAAAACAGCAAACAGCTTGATGTTGTGCAATTTGACTTTTTTTTTTCTTTTGCATTAACTGATTATTAATTGAATAGCAAAGGAGCTCAGGAGATTTTGTTCTGTACAAAATTTGAACCAGATGAAGCCTGAACTGAGCCACTGGAGGAGTTCTGGGTAGAACATATTTACAAAGGTGTTTTTGTTCTAAATGTAAATGTATTTATTCTGTACAGTTTTGGCTTAATTACTGAAAATGCTATTTTAGCAAATAGCCTTTTTCTGTACTGTATACTCCAGTTAATGATTAACCAATTACTAAATGAGTTGCTCAGTTAATCATGATTAAAACGATTAATCATTTCAGTTGGACTATTTCTGAAGAATCAAAGACAAAATCTGTCTTTTCCTCCTCATTTCCGCAGCAAACATCCACTTAAAGCCCCCACAGCGCTCCGCAGGATCCACACGACTGAAAACATTTTGCTGTCAGAGAAAAACAAATGGTCTTCTTTCAGGTTGTGATCTTTGGAGGGTTGAGCAGAGGCAACATCCAATCAGAGGCGCCAAAACCCACAGAAGTGATGCCTTCATCGGCACGCAGCCCAACAGCTGGTCCCTTCAGGGAGTCGGGGGTCCCCCCCGCACCGTCGGGAAGCCGAATTCCTCCCCCTTAGATCTTGGCGGGACTCTTCATTCTCCCGCCGCTCTGCAAACAGAAAGACATTTCTGATATAGCGAGGAATAGAGGCAGACCGTTTAGCTGCTGGGATCAGATTCATGCCCACAGAGGACCTTTGAGATAAAATATCCAAAGTGAAGGAGGTAATTGGAAGCTTATGTCTCAAACTTATGAGGTTCAGGTATTACTTTTAGGTTAAAACCAAATTTCCAACAAACAGCTCCAGCACCTGAGAGGATCTGGGTTCTCTCTGGGTACCTCAACTTCCTCCCAGAGTTCAAAAACACAGCTGCTGACTGACTAACTGTTGCTTGTCTTGCATGTTTCTGTGTTGCGTATTAAACTGGTCATAACATTATAACATGATGTAAAGCTCATAAAAGTCAATTTTACACAATACTGCCCCTTTAAGGGGGATGGAGATCAAAATTGCAACATTTGCTGCGGTTCGCTTTCACACTGTCAAACAGACCAAACTATTTGAAAAACCTGTCCCCTACCCTCACCTGAACCAAGAACCACTGAAGGAAACAACATGAAATCCTCTGAAGACACTGAGCGCAAAAAATATGAACAAAAATGGAGTGGCGTCAGACTTTAGTGGCTGTAGGATTTCTCTTTTGCATTTGGCAAAAGACCATGAGCCATTTCTCCCGGTAGTGCTAGACTCTTGTCTTTATTTTTGTTTTATTTATTTTTTCATTTCAGAATGCCCTGCGTTGTAGTCCATTTCCTGCTTTGGAACGGGTTCCAGACTCTTTGAATAATGGATTAACCCTTAGGAATGAGTGTTGCTTGTCTTGTGTGTTTCTGTGTTGCCATGGATGGGCACGCGCCAATCTGTTTGGCATGTACCCTGCCTCCAGCAGGAGATGGGCACCAGCAACCATGCAAGGAAAAGCAGATATTGACAAATGGATAAACGTTTAAGTCATAAAAGCACAAAACCAAATCTAATGAACAACAGTAAATCCTAAGATTTTGGTCCTGTTTCTCCACAGTGATTCACAGAGTCTGGCGTTCAGTTTAAGGATTAATTCTGGAGCACAGAAGTTCCCGCAGGACTCCATGTCAACAACCCCAAACAGACAGACGGTAATTAGGCCGAAGACCTCCATCTGTCCAGATATGACTTTCTGTTAACATTTGTTTCTGATATTTTTTACACCAAACTCTTTGTAGGTCCGTCTGGTTTCTGGGAAAGATTCAACATAGGTTAGTCACTCTAGCAACAACCTATTGAGTAACTTGTGCAGTAGCAGTTTTGCCACTGTAAACTGCTTAAAAATAAAACGAAGTGAAAGGAGAAAATGAGAACACCACCTCAAGAGGAAACTGGATAAAACAGTTTCACAGTCAACAAAAAAAACTATCAATTATTATTGATATCGACTTGTCATGATGTGTGGTTGGTGATGGGGAGAAGGAATGCCACGAGCCCAGGTTGACATGATGAGATGAGATATTTAATGAAGAAAACCAACCAACCAACCAACTCAGGCAGCACAGGGAAACTAACAGCAACTGACGCACGGCATAAGACGGCAAT